CTGAATGTGTACAACAGGGGTTTGAGCAAAGCTTTTACCACTGAATGATGCAAAAAGTCTCAGATCCAAAAGACTTCAGAAATCGTATTAATCAAATATGATACATTTGGCATTTTAGGGTTAAAGCAGTATTTCTCTACTAAACAGAACTGAGGATTAGCATGTTAGCATATCTGTTGTTCTCTGATGTATTACTGACTGCATAGTGAGCTAAGCTAAAGAAAGCTAAGTTAAAGAGTCCGTAAGTTGACTTTAATACTCAAATAAAGTGAAAAGGGAGGCAGTTCGGAGTGAGGTCAGCTTTATAACTGGAAACTGAACGGTGAGTAATGTTTCTTTTGGTTATCAGATAAAAAGTGTATTTTAAAGCAGTTTTTCTCTACTAAACAGAACTGAGGATTAGCATGTTAGCATATCTGTTGCTCTATGATGTTTTTACTGACTGCATAGTGAGCTAAGCTAAAGGAAGCTAAGTTAAAAAATCCGTAAGTTGATTTTAATACTAAAATAAAGTGGAAGTTAGGCAGTTAGGAGTGAGGAAACAAGGGTGAAATACAGTAAAGTTAGATTTAGATTACATACTCTCTCAAAATTTTAGTTCTGGTACTGAGATGTGTGTGTTTTCTCCTTCCAGAGCACAGAAGCAGTGGGCGACTGGCGTAAGAACATCGAGGATAAGGCGGACAGGAAGAAGATGTTCGAGACCTCCTAAAAAGCCTCATTTCCTGGACGACGGCGGGGGGAAAACGTTTCCGTCCGAGGTCTGGGTGACTGTCTGTGCGTCTCCCGCGGACATTCGGGGACAATGTTCGAGGCCTTTTTTTTTGTTTTTTTCTGCCTGTTTTTGAGATACTGTCACCCCCCCTGAGAGATACCGAGCCAAAACACAGAAACATCATTTTGTAAAGTCCACAGACATCATCACCTCACGATGTGTAGATTTCCATGGAAGCAGTAGAAATAAATATTTTCAAATAAGGACGGATTTTTGTTGCTACTTGTATCCACTTGTTAATTCTTCTACTCAAACATCAAAACTTTCCTTTAAATGACTTTTAAAAGAAAAAATAGATTTATGGGGCTTCAGAAGGGAGCGTGAGTCAGAATTTCTGTGGCCATTTTAAAACCGAAGTGACCTCATTAAGGTCCACTTCTCACTCAACCTGAGACCCAGAAACAGCCTTAAATTTGAAATAATTTGGAAATAATTTGATTTCAGATGATTCACACGAGGAGCTTTTCATTAGTTTTCTCACTTCAGTTGTAGAATGACCACATAAATTCTGATTTACGCTCAAATAATGTCCCTCTGGGGTTAATTAAGTATTTCTGACTCTGATTCTGATCCTGATTCTGATTAGATCGGACCCTTCTGAGTCAGATGTGCTGGGGAATCTGAAAAAGATCCAGGACTTTGTGTCTTTAAATTGCAAACAATGAAGCAGTGGAGTTGTCTTTTGCTAAAAAGACAACTGGACTGGCTCACTTTCCTTTTATAAAAACAGTAAAAAAAGCTTCACGTTTCCGTTTAATCAAATTGAGCTGCCTTTATGAATATAACAGCAAAAAAGGTGTTTTTAGGTTTTACTTACACAGTGAATCTTTGGAAAAAAATCCACTATCACTTCTAATTCATTGCTTTTGTTTGTGATGAAGTTAACAGTTTGGTGTCTTTGCTCTTTAGTCTTATATTTCAAGTGAAATTAACATGGTTTGAACATGGTTTGGAGAGATGTCTTCTTCTAAAAAAACACCAGATTTCATCGTGTTTGCAAAGAACCGGCTCAGATCTTTAAAGTCCCGTTTATTCCTCGCTGTGTGCCTTCTGCTCAGCTCCGACCGGTCTGAGTTAGAGGGCATTTTTACAGAGCGGGGCTGGGCAGGATGTATTTCAGGATCTCGTCGGCCCATTGGTCTGCCCGGGAATCCATTTCCATAAAGAGGATCTGGGCATTTTGCTGAGACACCACAAGCCACCATATATACCTATTTCCTTTTTCTCTGTCTGTGGCTTCGGCAGTGGCTCCTTTTTCTTCCATCAAGCGTGTCTTGTCCTCCTTCCTCCTCCTCTCAATAGGTGAGAACATTTTCCTTATGCTTTTATCCACTTCAGGCCTCCGAGAGCAGCATCTTTTACTTTTCCCCTGGACAAAAACAAAAAAAAAAGATGATGAGCAAAAGCCGTAACTGAACGACATCATTTTTTAAAGAGGAGGCAAAACCGTCTCTTTCTCCTCCTTTGACCCTTTCGTGCCACACCGAACTCGCTTCAGACATGTTTGTCAGCACCTTTCCTGGTAGATTTATGTGTCAGCTGCAGAACTATTTGGTGTTTTATGCCGGTGTGTTTTACGACCCGCATGGCATTTAGCGTTAGAAAGTGAATGTAACCCTCGGCAACTGGCGGGTTACATTCACTTTAATAAATCTGTCACAAAACTGTAATATCTAGACTGGATTACTTCAACTAAAAGTATGAATTAGGTTGACAAAAAATAATTTTTATGTCTATTTAAAGTCAAGTTTGGGTTATTAAGCGGATACAAAAATGTTATATATTAGTTTATTGACCTGAAATGTTCAAAATTGAGAATAATTGCAAACTTTATGACTCACAGTTGATTATTTACATCAAATGTACATTTGGTTGATACCTTTTATAGATTTTCAGAAAAATAATTTGAAAAATTATACTTTATTTAATACTTTTTAGGATTTTATTAACCATTAGTTTTTATAATCATGGGCAGTACAATATATACAATGTTTTCTCAGAAAAATATGAGATACTGTATAATTTTAATAAGAAAAATTGTATTAATAAGAAAAAAATTAGCTATATTTGCATAATTATTGTTATTATCTTCAATAATAATAATAATAATAATAAAAATGCATGGCGACGGATTGTTTTTGATCATTACACATTGCTGGGACCCTGCACTTTGCTAATGCTCCAACATTAGGACTGAACTTTGGTGCATTTCAAAGAGGAATCTTTCAAATTAACCCCTCACTCGATCCGGTCGTAAACGGCCGGGAGGCGACACCCGACCCGGGACCGTCCCAGATTAGTCCAGCTCCTCAGCTGTGTCAGATCGCGTTACGTTACAAATCTTACTGTTCATCAATCCCCATCGGAGCTGAGGAACATGCTGATCTCAGACAGCCCCAAACGGAAAAGCTATGGCACCCTGCAGGGGTCAAACACACCAAACCCGTCCTCAACGTGTTCTAATATGTGTGTGTCTCGATACAGGCTGTGAACCACAAAATCCATCAAGATGTCTGAGTAAGTCCAACTAAGAACGTTTAATCTCTGTACACTTGTCTTTGATCAAGTTAACCACAAGAATTGTGTCTCATAATTGTTGAATATGACAGGAATGTTAAAAAAAAAGTGTTTGTGTTTCTTTCCTAATCATAAAATTCTGAGTTCCAAACATTGTTAACGCGTAAAATAACCCTCAAGAAAAACATTTCAACCTCTGGATAAAGAAGAAACATAAAAGTAGCTAATTGTAAGAACTTGTTCCCTGTCAGGAAGAAGATGACATCCAGCCGTAGGCATCACCTGAAGGTAAAAAAAACAAAAAAAACATGAAAAACTGATTCCTTTCAATGAATGTCAATGCCTTTATTCGCATCAATGTCCAATCTTCATATTACAAATACAAACTTAATCAAAATACATGCTTTGACTGTTATAATCTGGTAAAAAAGAACTCCAAATTCCTTTAAATGTAGAATATATTCCATTTTTAATGGTGACCTCAGAGTGCTGCTGGACTGAGATAAAAATGGACTTTTTGACTTGACTTTTTCTTTGGGTGTTTGCCCCGTAGAGTCTGATCCTCCAGATTGCTCAGAACTGGATCGAGCAGGAGAAAAAGGACATCCAGGCTGCCAAGGAGGCCTACATGGCCGAGCACTGTCCCGCCCCGGACATGGGAGGAGACCAGGCTGCTCTGATGGTGAGAAGCTCATAAGATCGTTTAGGAGTAACTGGACCCTGAAAGGAGGGCTTGAGTCTGTTATAAAAACAGATATAGAAACGAGAAAACCCACCTCTGACCCTGGATCAACGGCCCATAATGTGAATAAGTAATCCATTTAATCTGGACTAATGTTCTAGCATAACAGATCTGATGTTATCTCCTGACTTTTATCCGAGAGGAACATTAGGAACATTAGGATGTAGGGTTAGTCCAGTGAGGAAACAGCTAATGGGACCAACATCATCCTTTATGACAACCTCTCTTCCGTTTAAATAGCTGCTGATCGAGCTGAAAAAACGGTCCTTCATGATGAATCTGACTCACAGATTGTTTTGTAGGATTTATGACCAATTAACTAACATATAAAGAAGCTGAATTCTTTTTTTTTTTCAAACAATTCAGCATTGAGGTAGGAGTTATGGACCATTTTTAAGACAGCGTAATTAACAAGATTTAACTTAAAGCTCTTACAGTACAATCGGATAGTTTTGATACTTAAACTCTTTCCTTTATTTAACCAGGAAAAGTCCCATTGAGATTAACAATCTCTTTTTCAAGGGAGTCCTGGCCAAGACAGCGGTGAAAGATTACATTACAAATTACAGTACAGTTTACAATTACATCTATCTATAATAAGAAATTCATAAAACCGCCGCCCACCCTGAGCCATGGTTCTGCTCCAGGTTTCTGCCTGTTGAAAGGAAGTTTTTCCTTGCCTGTGTCGCCTAGTGCTTGCTCACGGTGGGAATTGTTGGGTTTCTGTAGTTAACTTCAGAGTAGGGTCTGACCTGCTCTGTTTGGAAAGCGCTGTGAGACAACTGTTGTTGTGATGTGGCGCTATATAAATAAAATTGAATTGAATTGAATTGAAAACAGTTACAAACCATAGATCTCGTTTCCAAACACTGGTTGACGCCTCACTCTTCTATTCTGTAGCATCGTAAGTACCTGTAAGTACCAGTTTTAATTTTTATTCATGCTTAATTGAGTTATACCTGGATAGTCGTTACAACAGGTTATTTTTCCGTAAGAAAAACAGACGGTTTTTGGGTCGGAGACGTTGTAATATTTGAGCGGATGACGAGGGGCAGCTGCTCCATCTGTTCTTTGGGAATGCGTCGCTTTGAATTCGATTCAGCAGAATACGGATGAGTCAGTGGCACAACCGCAAATAACTGTCGGTGGGAATCTGTGTGCCTAAGTGCATACAGTGCGTGTGTCATGAGGGCTCTGACACTATAATTAACAATTTGACTCCGGCTCGGCACTTTGTGACCTTCACCGCGTGCCAACTCAACGCTATCACTAAAACATTCAAAAGACAGACGAAACGTTTTAAACGTTAACCCTTTGAAAGCCCCATCCAAGAAAAATAGGAAGAATATTGGATTTTTTTTAGTCTGAAGTCTTTTTTTTGGCCCCTCAACAACATATGAAGAAAAAAAAAATGAAATTATTTTGATTAGATTAGCGTGAAATAAGTCTAAAATATATTTTGGTGTAGTCTTCTACTGGCTGTTATCAGGTATATCTGAATGTGTACAACAGGGGTTTGAGCAAAGATTTTACCATTGAATGATGCAAAAAGTCTCAGATCCAAAAGACTTCAGAAACCGTTTGTATCAAATACGACACATTTGGCATTATAGGGTTAAAGCTGGAGATGTCTTTAAGTCGCTTCCTGTTTTATGCGAATCGTTTCATTTAATTTAATCGATGGGAACCACAAAGGAACGGAAGTGAAATGGGTTTGGTATTTGTGTCCACAGGAGTTCTGTAAGAAGCTCCACGCTACCCTCGACAGGATTGATGATGAGAGGTATGACGCCGAGTCCAAAGTTCAGAAGGCAGACAAAGAGGTAGGACTCTTTCCAGCCAACATAATCACAAAAACAAGACGAAAACGAACGGGAAAGAGTTAAAAAAATGTTTTTTCCCTTATAGATTGAAGACCTGAAGATCAAAGTGGTGGACCTGATTGGCGTGAAGAAGCCCGCCCTGAAGAAGGTGCGCATGTCTGCAGACTCCATGTTGGCCGCCCTGCTGGGATCCAAACACAAGGTGACCATGGACCTGAGGTCCAACCTGAAGCAGGTCAAGAAGGAGGTCAAGGAAGAGGTAAAAAAATCCTTGCTTTGTTCTCGCTCAGTGTTTTTCAACCTTTTTTGAGCCAAGGTACAGTTTTTCATTGAAAAAATCTCGAGGCACACCACCAACCAAAAGTGTCAAACAAATCTGTAACCGCCTATAGTAACATTATAGTTATTCTTATCTTATCTTAAGTGTCTTGAATAGGAATCAAATCAACACAAAAATGTATTTTTATCATATTTTACATTTCTTCTTTCAAATTTCACTTAACATGTCCACTTCAATATGCAAAATTACATACAAAATTGAGTCATAAGGAATTATTACATGATTACTCCACCAGTCACTAGAACAGCACAGACACTCAAAAATGGCATATTATTTGCAGAAAATGAATTCCTTATCAAAATTTTTTTTTAGACCAATTAGGTGAAATAGGAGGATTTTTTACGGCACACCTGACCATCACTCATGGCACACTAGTGGTTGAAAAACACTGTTCGAGCTTATCATCCCCAAAATTGACCACGTGGAATAAAAACCACCATCCAAAACACACTTCACTGACATGTTTGTTGTTCTTCCAGAACGTAGAAGCAGGCGACTGGCGTAAGAACATCGAGGACAAAGCCGACAGGAAGAAGATGTTCGAGACCTCCTAAGTCTGCTTCTGTCCGTTTTTGTCTGTTTGTCTTTTTGTGTGCTGGTGGAAGACAATAGCTGCCGGACGTCCAACCGGACTCAGGGTTCGGTTTTGCATGTCTGAGAGGAGTCACTCTGAAGGAGATGTTATTTGTCGGAGGGTTTTTTTTTCTTTTCTTTGCACTTGGAAGAGGAGGAGCGTGGAGTTTCTGTAAGTTCGCACAATTATCGGGTCTTCAACTTCGCACTGTCGAGGACACTCACATGGAATGAAACATGTTCAATAAACGCAATAAAGTCTTGTTGGAAAAAAGTAAATGTGGACGTCTGTCTTTTATTTAATAGCAAGCTATTCCTGCTGTATTTAGAAGAAAACATAGAAAATATTAGTAAAAATTACATTGACATTCAATTAAATTCAATTCAATTTTATTTATATATCGCAACATCACAACAACAGTTGTCTTACAGCGCTTTCCAAACAGAGCAGGTCAGACCCTACTCTGAAGTTAATTACAGAAACCCAACAATTCCCACCATGAGCAAGCACTAGGCGACACAGGCAAGGAAAAACTTCCTTTTAACAGGCAGAAACCTGGAGCAGAACCATGGTTCAGGGTGGCCATGCTGTGATCTGTGCCATAAAGAGAACAGTGATAAAAAAAAAAAACTTTATGGAGCAATATTATACATATTATCACACATACCAAGAATCATACACAAGTTAGACAATTATTAAATTACAGATATTCTATAAATGCTGTAAACCCACAAACAAGTCAGAGGATTGTTGCCAAAACTCAGAAATATATGGCACTTTTCTATGAAAAGTACCTTTAAAATTCCTATAAATCATCCCTATAACAACTTTAAAGTCATATTTTGATGTAGGACTACAAACAGATGCTAAACTATGCTTAACAACTTGAAACAAGACAAACATCAATGTTAATTCCAATGCTAGTGAAAGAGCCAAGAGCTTTCTCCACATTTCATCTTAGCAACTTTCACGACATTTTCTCTCCTACTTTTGTGCCTTGTCTCTAGAATTGAAATAAACTTGACTATAACAATAAGATGAGTTCTTTAATTTACTCCGGGTTGGTGATATATCCCACCGATCGCACACATGTGCACGCAGACACCTTCCCACTCCTTGTATGGTGAGCTGAGCTCCTTCTCCAACCTGTCGGAGCCTGGTGGGGCTCTAAAGTTTCCCGAGATGCTAACTTTATCCTGCTAGTTTCCTGAGAAGCTAACTTTATCCTCTTAGCTGCAGGGGGAATGTCTGAGAGGTGCCTCCGGGTTAATTTTGGTACCATGGAACTCCGCCAAGACGCCTTAAAAATGCCGTTTCCCTCCATCTACTGGGTTCACTCTAACGGGCTAATTTTAAAGTTTAAACTTTTCAATTCAATTCAATTCAATTTCATTTATATAGCGCCACATCACAACAACAGTTGTCTCACAGCGCTTTCCAAACAGAGCAGGTCAGACCCTACTCTGAAGTTAATTACAGAAACCCAACAATTCCCACCATGAGCAAGCACTAGGCGACACAGGCAAGGAAAAACTTCCTTTTGGCACCTTGAAGTTTTTTTTTCACGAATTAAATGTGTGGATGGAATAAAACGGAGGTACAGGTTTCACCTCCGAAATCACAAAGCTCTGGCTGTGAGATGGTGTGAAAACATGGTATTCAATAATGAGGCTCGGTGGGGTTCTGTTCACATCTTCTGTCCTGTTTCTGACCCTCAAAAAGCAGAATAATTACATCCAAAACTTCTCGGAGTCTGTCACTCTCTATCCGTCCACCAGATGTCCTCTGAGAGTCCAATCAGACAAAAGCTGCCTTTACCACAACTCAGTAAATAATGATTCAGACGATAATACCATAATTCGATATAATGTGGTGAGGCTGTCTTGGGAATAAAGAAAGTTTGAATGCAGCATGAGTAAATAACAATCTGGATTTGCACACTAAGCTAACCATTTTACCGTCTTAAAGAACAAAAAACTGCACCCAGACATCATCTTGACAGCATTTAGAGATAAAAAAAAGTACTTTTTTTTGTTATTTTCCCAAGAAATTAAGTAAAAACTCCAAATTAAACTGAAAAGTACCTTCCAATTCAAATCTAAAATCCCTTCCAGTTCCTTTTTTTAGTCCCCTGTCATATTCTTTTGTAAAGCTCAGTCTTTCAGACACCTCTGATGCTACCTAAACATAGTTCCTTCTGTTTTTTTCTGGCATCTAATTTTCTTTTTACCAAAGTTTTTTTTTACAGAGCTTTTGTTGAGCTTTTCTCTGCCTTTTGTTTGAAGTTCTGCATTTGGGGACTCATCTCTTTATCCATCCACACTCCATTGTAAAAACAGTGTCATAGTGTGAGTGCAAAGTTTCTTTTTCTCTGATAGCTGCACTATTTATTTAATTCTGCACTCAACTTTCCCTTATCTGTCCCATACTGAAAGGCGCTTATTAGCAAACCTTTGAGACTGGTTCTTATCATTAGTTTCTTACTTTTGAAACCTGTATTAGATCATTTTTATTCAGAATTTTATTGAATATTACTCTTTTAAAATGACATTTGAACAAGTCGGTGCTGATAAATTTGAATAATCGTACTTGAAACTTTGACCATTTGAAAAAAGATCATTTAATTGAATTTTCTGATAGTGTTTTCATTTTATATGATACTATTTACAGTAACTCTAAAGAAGTGGTCGAGTGAGGAATAGAAGAGAGATGATTAAAACTTTTATCTAATGCTTCTCGACTGACCCAACAACTTGTTTTGGACACATTTTTACACAATCTTAGATTCTTCAGGCTGCTTTTTAAAGGTGACACATCAGCTCTTGGTTCCTTATTTTCAGTTTTCTGCTATTTTAGACTGACTTTGACAATTTCTTGCCAACTTTTCCTCATAAAGATGCTCCATATAGCTGATGAACTCTAGTTTTTTGGGGCTTTTCGGACCTTTAGGGAAAATCCTTCTGGCCAAACGACAACTTGAAGCTTAACCACTAGCACCTTTTTGGTTTTGCCTTTGTTTTCTCCATTTAGAAATCGTACAAAAAGCCACTTCACTCATCTTCTCTATGTCAGTGTTTCTAAACCTCTGTCCTCAGGACCCCCGGGCCTGCATGTGATCCTGATCCATCTGGACCAGGTCTGCTGGAACTGGTCTACATACAGGATTGGGGGTCCTCAGATCGATAAAAAAACTGCTCTATGTGCCACTGTACATGATATAATCCCTTATCTATCTTCTAATGCAAACGAACCACAAACAGAATAAGACCACCAGGAGCCCGTTTGCACATGTTGACTCCTCCAGGGGTCAGAGGTCAGGAAGGGTCTGAAAAACGAGACGCGTAACACGTACCGAGGGCGACTGGAAGATGAGATTTTGTTTAAGCGAATCTTTCTAAAAATACTCGGGAGCTTTGAGGACGAAAATAAACACTTTACACCACAATATGGTGCGTTCAGGGACAGGGACACCGGGAACGGTTTGGGACTTTTACCCAAAAGCCATCAAAGAAGAAGCTATAATGCTAAAATATAACAAAGTGACATTTACAGTGACTAAACTGTAAATAACGGTTACATGATCCATGAAACACAGATGCCCCCATGGTGTCACAAATCAACCGGGGGGGGGGCCTAAAATGTGGCAGATGAAAGTGGAGTAAACTGTTTTTTTCTTTCTTTTTTTCACCATACAATTTGTCTAGTTATCTATAACGAAGGAGGCTGTTTTAAATCTTGGTATTTTCGGGACACTTTGAGCTAGTTAAGCACAGAATGTGCTAACTGTGCTAACTAATTTGGGTGGAAGACGTCTTTAATTTTTTTGTTATTTTGTGTTCTGAGATTGTTTATCTTTCTGGTACAGTCAAATGTACTCTTCTTTTTTTTTGTTCGTACTAAGTAGTAGCTTTTGTTTCTAAAAAAAAAAAAGAAAAGAAAAAAAAGAAATAATGTATTTACATGGTATTTACATGGTAGCCACGTAAATATGACCTGGTCACATTCTGGAAATCCAGTTTGTGAGGGACGACAGGAACGAGGGATGATTTCCAAAAAGCTGGGTTTTATTTGCCCCAAAAATGCACAAAAATGCCCCAAAACACATAACAAAATAACTGTGCTTGGCACATAAAAAGAGGTCAACTGAACAAAATTAAGGTCAGTAGGGGGTGTGCTTGTTCTGTTTTTCTCCTCTGAGCAACAGCCGACCGGACACTGACTGACAGGGATTCCCGTGTGGGCTCATTTTGAAATGTTATATAGTAAAAAAAACAAAAAAACAACACTGATTATGGCCGGTTTTTAAAATGTAAATGAAAACAGAATTGCTTATGTTTATGCATTAAGTAGAATCTTTTACCCAAAGCGACTTATCAAGGTAGTGTAAAAAAAAATCTATTTTAGATCTCAGAATCAAATATTTCACTCTGCCATCAACTTGGACGTTTGAATTCGATGACAAAAACACACTCAGACAGTAGAGACAGGGCTTGATTTATCTCTCTACTGTCATAAAACGGTTTAATTGCAGAACTATGCTGTTTATTTAACCTTTTTAGACGTCCAGTGTGTCTTTTTTGTTTAAATTTCTGCTCATATTTCAACTGATTATCAAAATGCTACTGTTTTTATTTGATTTATTTAATGTCGATAGCATGTGTGTGTGACAACCAAACTGAGTGACGCTCCATTTTAGTTGTAATCTTAATTTATGATATCAATAAAGTAGATATATTCACTTAACAAGCTAAAAGGCTTCGCTTCAATAGGTTTTAAAAGCGTTCAGGTCATGGTCTTGGATTTGAGTCAGAGAAAGAATTAGCTAAACAATGTGATATTAACTTGGTGTTTTTCAGGACAAATAATAACTTTGAATTAAAACATTCAGCTGATGATGATACATTCATTATCAGAAGTCAAATTATGTCAAATCAACTGATTATTCTTCACTTTCTCCTCTCGTATGATTTACAACACCATGTACATAGATAAAGTATGTTTTATGTTTTGGAGTCTAGCAATATTCTATGTATGCAAATAGAGTTTTTAAACTTTTCCACAGGGTCTGTTTTCCCTGAAATGTAATTATAAACCCTCAATAAGGAAACGATTTTCCCCCATATTCCCTGTTGTTCAATATCCCCATCTTAACTTTCATAATGTTTTTGCCTCATGGTTAGTTTGAAAGCTCCACTTTTCACCCAATGATCTTTTTTTTAACAGTTGTCTTGATCCTTCCAGCATTTTTCTCCTCATTTTTTGTGATCACTACCTCTAT